AGATTCGCGCCGCCGCCGCCTCCGGCTGCCTCCCGCCGCCGCCTCTTCCTCATGACCCTGCTACGTTCAGAGGAGGGTTCCCCCCAATCCCTAGCTCCCCGCCCTTGCAAGGCGCCTAAACTAATAGCATCATCAGCCAGCGCTGCGCAATGACGTCAGACGCACAGCGCCCGCAGCCATGGTAACTGTCAAAACTGCGAAGTCCGGTTGCTGGTGAGCCAGAAACGGAGATGCCAGGCTGTGTGCTCTGCCCTCTCCAGGCGTCCTTAGAAATTGCTGAAAAGAAGGGGGAAAGCTAGTCAACCCCTCGGCCCCAGATTTTACGGGAACTACTAAAATCGCTGGCCGGTTGTGTTTTTAGAGGGTCCTGTAGAGCAGGGACTGTTTACTAGCACATCCCCAGACTTAGAAACTCTAAATTGAGTAGAAATAGATTAGAAATTCAGATGTGAAGTAACTGATAATAGTTACCTCCTAGGAGGGGAACTGAGTTTCAGGGAAATATGTCGTGGAAGAGCATTCACTGTATGTGCTTGTGTACTTTTTAATGTGAATGTGTTCCCTGTTCAAAAATTATTATAGTTAAAACTTTGTAAATCAATCTGCTTCAGGAGGTAGCAGTGGAGCAATAAACAAGACACTCTGGTAGCAGAAGAAAAAAATACAATAAACAAATGAACAAGATAACTTAAGAATGCATTAATCTTGGCCTGCGTTGCTCAGTGGTTGAGCGTCGACCAATGAACCAGGAGGTCATAGTTTGATTCCTGATCAGGGCACACACCCAGGTTGCAGGCTCGATCCCCAATGTGGGGCATGCAGGAGGCAGCTGATCAATGATTCTCTCTCATCATTAATGTTTCTCTCGCGCGCGCCCTCTCCCTTCCTCTCTGAAATCAAAAATATTTTTTAAAGAGCCGAAACCGGTTTGGCTCGGTGGATAGAGCGTCGGCTTGCGGACTGAAGGGTCCCAGGTCCGATTCCGGTCAAGGGTATGTACCTGGGTTGCGGGCACATCCCCAGTAGGAGATGTGCAGGAGGCAGCTGATCGATGTTTCTCTCTCATCAATGTTTCTAACTCTCTATCTCTCTCCCTTCCTCTCTGTAAAAAATCAATAAAATATATTTAAAAAATATTTTTTAAAGAATGAGTTAAATTCCATAAAAGAAATATAAAGTGTAATATGACAGAGATTAATAGGAGACTGGCTTGCTTTAGGTTGCATGGTTAGAGAAGGCCTCTATGATGAAGGAAAAATGGCAAGAGAGTGGGTCACCTCTCCCTCTCTGAAAGCAATTAAAATATTTTTTAAAAGAAATCAAAAAGATTTTGGAGGTGTCTCAAAAATCTTAGAGCCACTGCCAGGACAGCATATTCTGGTATAAACTGAAGACACAAGGCTTTTCTTCAAGTGTTTTGTTCCACATTAAGAGTAGGGTATTCTGCAGTTAAGGAAGTCAATAATGACCAAGATTTAATTTCCCATTAGTAAAGGTGTGAGAACAGAGTCAGATTTAATTTTATTATTAAAGTCAAAATATTTGTTACCCAAATTTATGGAGTAAATTCTTTTTTTTTAAATTTATTGATTTTTTACAGAGAGGAAGGAGAGGGATAGAGAGTTAGAAACATTGATGAGAGAGAAACATCGATCAGCTGCCTCCTGCACACCCCCTACTGGGGATGTGCCCTCAACCAAGGTACATGCCCTTGACCGGAATCGAACCTGGGACTCTTCAGTCCACAGGCCGACGCTCTAGCCACTGAGGCAAACTGGTTAGGGCAGAGTAAATTCTTAATGGCATCATAATAACTTAAAAAGTCTCCAGTTTCCCCAAAAGACACACCCAACTTTTCTCATGTACATGTTGCACATCATGTGCATCCCTACAACTTGAAAATTGTATTTTCAGCTGCAAAGAAAAAGCTCAATTAGACTGTAAATTAAGACCATATACAGGAACAACTCTGCCACCTACCGTTCAACCCCAAATTCTTTCCAGCCCTTCCTCAGGATGTCTTTATTTTATTTATTTTTTAAAATTCTTTATTGTTTAAAGTATTATATATGTCTCCTTTTCTCCTCATTGACCTTTTCCTGGCCACTCCCACCCCCCAGCACATGCCCTCACCCCCCTGTTGTCTGTGTCCATTGGTTATGCTTATATGCATGCATTTAAGTCCTTTGGTTCATCTCTTACTGTCCCTCCTCCCCCCCAATCCCCGCCCCCTCATCTCTCTGAGGTTTGACAGTCTGTTCTATGCTTCTGTCTCTGGATCTATTTCTGTTCATCAGTTTATTTTTCATTGTATTCCACAAATGAGTGAGATCATGTGATGTTTATCTTTGTCTGCCTGGCTTATTTCGCTTAACAAAATGCTCTCTGGGTCCATTCATGCTGTTGCGAATGGTAAGAGTTCTTTCTTTTTTACAGCAGTGTAGTATTCCATTGTGTAGATGTACCAGTTTTTTTTAATCCACTCATCTGCTGATGGGCACTTAGGCTGTTTCCAAATCTTAGCTATTGTAAATTGTGCTGCTATGAACATAAGGATGCATATATCCTTTCTGATTGGTGCTCCTAATTTCTTGAGATATATTCCTAGTAGTGGGATTACTGGGTCAAATGGGAGTTCATTTTTAATTTCTGAGGAAACTCCAAACTGTTTTCCACAGTGGCTGCACCAGTCTGCATTCCCACCAGCAGTACATGAGGGTTCCTTTTTCTCACATCCTTGCCAACACTTATCATTTAATGACCTCATTGCTGGGGTCCAGCCCTAGCAGGTCCAGGGGTCCCAAAGGTGTGGACGGAGTCGGTGAAGAAGAAGTGACACAGAGACAGCGTTCAGTTGATCAGCAGCCTAGCCAGGATCTCTAGCCAGGATCTCCAGCCAAGTTCTGTCTTTTATTGTCTTGTTACATCTGTATTTATACCAGTTGATTTTAATCCTGTCAATTTCTATTCCAAAGGTTAGGGCATTTTTTATCTCCATTCCAGGGAGTAAAGATTATGTAGCTTAAGGGTGATTGTTCATAGTTAAAGTGATTAACTACCCGCCTGGCATTTAGTTAAGGGATTTTATTCCCTCCCTAACTTCAGGGGAAAATCCCTACCTGGGGAAACAACCTTTCTCGGAGAGGTGACCTTGGTTAAAACACATAGCGCCAAGAAGGGGAGCAAACATATTAAGAACAGTATGCCATATACGCCAGGTCCCTTGAAACATATGCTGTGCAGATGTTTCTTCACTGCAGTGACTGTGTCAAGCAGCAAGGATGGACCAGCTTCTGGCACCTCATAATGTCTTTATCTCTAAAAAGAGGCTGGTTAGAAAGTCAATCTTTCCCCCTTGCTCAAGTTATTCCACAAGAGGTTTTCGAAGTGGTTCCACTTGGCCTGTAAACTATATTTAGGAGCAGGGAAGGCAGGTGGAGGACCATAAGCAAGACTCTCAGAGATTGAAAGGACAATAATAGCTAGCATATTGAGTGCTAATTGAGGGTAATTTTAGGGCATCCAGACTAATTCTACACATCTCAGTTTATAATGACTAATGGAATAGATGAAGTAAATAAGTACCAACCAAATGAACCATAGGCATTCTTACAGGTCTGTTTCTAGCAATAGCAGATGCTCTACAGCTTTAAGGTAGGTTCCAAAGTTATTCTGGGCTATTCTAAATGTGCGGTAAGACTGTATCCCCTGCTATCATCTCCCCGTCACACAACCCAAGTACAAAACCATTAATCTAAAACTCTTAAAATACCATCGACTGTAACAGGGCACTGGAATAAAATGGGAAATGAACAGACTTTAGGGTCTGTCTTAGATTTGACTCTCACTTCTACAGTTTCTATAACAGTTAGGTCAGTAACTTCTAGTCTGAGTCTCAGCCTCCTCTTCCCCTCCACCCAACCCCCCATATATTTTTACTAGAGGCCCGCTGCCCGAAATTCTGGCACTGGGGTGGGGATGGGTCCCTCAGCCCAGACTGTGAGAGGGCACAGGCCAGGCCAGGAAGGGATAGAGAGAGAGAGAGATCAATGATGAGAGAACCACTGCTCAGCTGCCTCCTGTACTGCCCCCCGCCCCCCACCAGGGATCAAGCCCGCAACCTGGGCATGTGCCCTTGACCCGAATTGGACTCGGTAGCATCCAGTCCACAGGTCGACGCTTTATCCACTGAGCCAAACCAGCGAGGGCTCAGTCTCCTCTTGAGTTAACTGAGAACAATGAAGCCTGCCTACCTTGCAGGGTTGGTGCGAGAATAAGCAAGGAAATTAAGGGCCAGACACAGCCTTTCGCAGTTAACCCCTCCATCTGTCCCGTCCCATTCACCCCCTTCCCGCCGCTGCAAGGAGATGAAGAAAGCTAACGTTCTTTGTCGGAAAGATATGCGGCTGGTCAAGCTGCAGTGCCCGGTACATGTTGGGGAAAGTCCACACACACCCCTCTCTCTCATACACAAGACCTGTTTTCGGTACGTTACCCCACATGCAAGGCAGGTAATGCCAGGGCTGCCACGGCTTTTCCCACGAGGCTGCCCCCTCCGCCCCCCCGCCGCGCA